TTCTAACTTGTATATGAAGTCTTTTAAAAAAGACTGTTTCTTTATCTGAATATCAGGATGAAATAGTGTGTGTGGTGTGTGCAGCAAGTATGTATTGTGACTAATGTTTTCACCTCAGCTAAAGCATTTTGTAGAAATGCGATGTGTTAAAATCATCAGCTGATCCACACAACCTGTCACGGAAAAAGATTATTTATTAGCAAGCATTGAGAGGTAATAAGCTTTCTTTCGTAGATACTTTCTTTTACAGACATCTAAGAAGGCATGTTATGTATAAAACAGATTTATTAAAGATTGTAACAAGATAGGGAGAAATGATAGTGGATCTCATAGAAATAGAAAGTAGAATAGTGGTTATTAGAAGCTGGGAAGGGTAGGAGGGGAAGGAAAATAGGGAGAGGTTGGTTAAAGGATACAAAATTATAGCTAGATAAGAGAAATAAGCTTTACTATTCTACAGCATGATAGAATGACTAGAGTTAACAATTTATCATATATTTTCAGATAGCTAGAAGAGAGGAATTTGAATATTCCCAAGATAAAGAAATGATAAATGTTTAAGGTGATGAATATACTGATTGCTGTACCAGTCAGGGTTCTCTAGAGGGACAGAAATAATAGGATATATATATGTATACGTATATATACATACACATATATATGGGAGTTTATTAAGTATAATCCTGTGCTGAGGAGGAGGTAGCCTAGAAGCTTTCTTTTCTAGGTAAAGAGGGAAGTAGTGTGGATTCTTTAGTGTGTTCTGATAGCCATTGTTACTTCTTTGTACTTCTTTGAGTCTTTACATCTCCTCCTGCTACATTTTAAATCATTTTTATAGTGCGTAGTTTGGCCTAATAAAGTATTTTTGTGGCAAAAAAAAAAAATCACAAGGTCCCACAACATGCCATCTGAGGAGCAAGGAGAGCCAGTCCAAGTCCCGAAACCGAAGAACTTGGGAGTCTGATGTTCGAAGGCAGGAAGCATCCAGCACGGGAGAAGGATGTAGGCTGGGAGGCTAGGCCAGTCTAGTCTTCTCACGTTTTCCTGCCTGCTTTATATTCTAGCCTCGCTGGCAGCTGATTCGATGGTGCCCTTAAACTGGGTGAGTCTGCCTTTCCCAGCCCACTGACTCAAATGTTAGTCTCCTTTGGCAACACCCTCACAGACACACCAGAATCAATACTTTGCATCCTTCAGTCTAATCAAGTTGACACTCAGTATTAATCATTGCACTCTGATTAGACCTCCCAGGTTCAAGCAATTCTCCTGCCTCAGCCTCCTGAGTAGCCGGGATTATAGGCACGTGCTACTACGCCCAGCTAATTTTTTGTATTTTCAGTAGAAACAGGGTTTCGCCATGTTAACCAGGCTGGTCTCGAACTCCAGACCTCGGGTGATCCACCCGACTTAGCCTCCCAAAGTGCTGGGATTACAGGATTGAGCCACCGCACCTGGTCAGTAATTTTTTAAATAATAATTTTTAAAAAAGAAATCAACTGGGGGGATGATACAAGAGATAGAAAGTGGGCATGAAAAAATACCTTAATAAAATGTATTACTGCCTAAAAACAGAAAACAAAAATAATTACAGAATTCAGTGTGAACTTTGTAAATATGTGTATAAAAGGTCTCACTGGACACTATCTCAGGCACTGTTCAGTGTTCACTCATAAGATAGGAGCATTATTAATACCTCTTACAGATGAGAGAATTGATCTTCAGAGAGATTTTTTAGAACATCTCTCAGTTAGTAAATAGTAAATTAGGGCATGGGTGAAGCCTCAGTTTTGTCTGACTCCAAAATCAAGATTTTGGATAGGCACAGTGGCACACGCCTTTAATCCCAGCACTTTGGGAGGCCAAGGTGGGTGGATCATCTGAGGTCAGGAGTTTGAGACTAGCCTGGCTAACATGGTGAAACCCCGTCTCTACTAAAAATACAAAAATTAGCTGGGCTTGGTGTCATATACTTGTAATCCCAGCTACTTGGGAAGCTGAGGCAGGAGAACCGCTTAAACCCGGGAGGTGGAAGTTACAGTGAGCTGAGATTGCGCCGTAACATTCCAGCCTGGGCAACAAGAACAAAACTCTGTCTCAAAAAAAACAAAACAAACAAAAATCAAGATTTTAACCTTTATCCTGCCATCCTATGCATCAAAATGTTAACAGCAGATATCACTGAGTAGTGGGATTTTATAAGTGGTCCCTTTTTCTTCTTTCACACTTTTCTTCACTTTTCAATATTTTCTACCAAAGGCATTATGAATTTTATGTTAGAAAACATATTATCACATTACACATCTAAAATTTCATCATTACAACTAAAGAGGAACATATCCGGAACATGTGCTAGATAAAAGGGCTAATATTGTCAGTGTACAAAGAGCTCCCATAAATCGATGAGAATAAATAAAACTCAAGAGAAAAAGATGGGACTAGAAAACCCAAGGATGAATGATACAGAAAACATTTCAAACCTGGCTAGTAGATGGGTAATTGCAAATTAAAAGCATGTAAGATGCCATTTTTCATCTATCAAATTAGCAAAAATTAAAGATTGATAATATCTATGTACCGGTGAGGAGACAGGAAAAGAGGCACTATCACCCACTGCTGTGGGGTGAAGACTGTTGACTCAACTCTTCCAAACAAATTCTCTTAGTCTCTATTAACACTAAACAGCTGTACTATTTGACCACCAATTCTACTTGGAAGATTCTGTCTTACAGAAATAAAAATATCAGCCAGGTGCGGTGGCTCACACTTGTAATCCCAGCACTTTGGGAGGCCAAGGCAGGCGGATCACGAGATCAGGAGTTCGAGACCAGCCTGGCCAATACAGTGAAATCCCATCCCTACCAAAAAAAAAAAAAAAAAATTAACCAAGCATGGTGTTGTGCATCTGTAGCCCCAGCTACTCGGGAGGTTGAGGCAGAAGAATCACTTGAACCTGGGAGGTGGAGGTTGCAGTGAACGGAGATAGTGCCACGGCACTTCAGCCTGGGCAATAAAACGAGATTCTGTCTCAGAAAAGAAAAATCAATAGGTAAGGATATATGTTCATGAATAGTTATTGCAGCACAATGTGTGTAGGAAAAATTGGAAACACGTGACTATCCGCTAATAAGGAAATTGTAGTAAATCAATATCCATCAATTCAATGGAATATTAGGCAGTTATTAAAAATAATTATCCCTGCAAGTGGGGAGAAAATAAACATACAGAGTATTGTGTCCAGCCTGGCTACTCCAGTGTGACCTACAGTCTTGCAGCATTGGCATCAAGCATGTTCTCACTTATCTGTGGAGTCTTTTAAAAAGTCGATCTCATGGAAGTAGAAAATAGAATAGTGGGAGCTTGTTGGAAATGCTGAATCTACACCCCAGAACTACAGAACTAAAACCTGAATTTTAAGAAGATTCCCTAGGGGAAACACTGGTGTACAGTATGATCCCAAAACAAAAGATTTCTCACGTACTGTGCAAAGCTGGATAGTCACAGCAAAAATCTATCCTCTCCTTCTAAACTAATAAACCCCTCATTCTTAGCTGGGGACATCGCCATCCAGAATAAAGATGATACTTCCCAGCCTTCCTTGGGGTTTGGTATGGCCATATAGCTAGGCTCTGACCAAGGAGACAAGACAGTGAAGAATATCATTTCTGCATTGTGCTTCTCAAAGGAAAATTATCTGTATCCCTCTGGTTATTCTTTTTTCTGCTACCTGAAAAATGTCAACAACTGAATCAGCCACTGTATCAGTCAGCTTGGGCTGCCATAATAAAATACCGCTGACTGGGCAACTAAAACAACAGAAATTTATTTTCTCACAGTTCAGGAGGCTGGAAAGTCCAAGTTCAAGGTCCAGCAGGGTTTGGTCTCTGGCGGGGGCTGTCTTCCTGGCTTGGACACAACTGCCTTCAGAGTGTCTTCCCATGGCCATTCCTCAGTACACACACATGGATAGAGAGATCTCTCTCTCTTCCTTTTCTAACAAGGACACCTATTAGAAGAGGTGTCCTACTGGATTAGGGCTCTACTCTTATGACCTCAATTGACCTTAATTACCTCCCAAAAGCCTTATCTCCAAATACAATCACATTGGGGGTTAGAGTTTCAACATATGCATAATTCAGTCCATATCATCTACCTTGGACCTAAAGATAGAAGCCACAACAAACATATTCTACCCTCCTAACTGTCTACCTCTGAAGTATTAGGCAAGAGATAAATAATCTAGTATGTTGGTCAAGCCACTGTGTTTTGGTCCTCTTTGTTACAGCAGCTTAACCTATTTCCTCACTGATACATACGTATGTTTACATGCATTCCACTGAGCAAGAAGAAAAGTATGAAACAATGCCCCCTAAACTGTTGCCATTCATTGCTACAAGGTAGGAGTGGTAGATAAACTAAACTAAGAATATTGAGGGGAAAAGTTATCCAACAGCACCTCAGGTTTTGCAATCATACCCATTGTTTAGATGACTGTGGGAAACATGCTTTTTCCCACTTTATAAATAAATGCTTAAAACAGTAAGACTTTTTTTTTTTTTTTTCTTTTGAGGCTGAGTCTAACTCTGTTGTCCAGGCTGGAGTGCAGTGGCATGATCTCAGCCCACTACAACCTCTGCCTCCTGGGTTCAAGCGATTCTCATGCCTCAGCCTCCTGAGTAGCTGGGAATACAGGTTTGAGCCACCGCACCCAGCTAATTGTTATATTTTTAGTACAGGCGGGGTTTTACCATGTTGGCCAGTCTGGTCTTGAACTCCTGACCTCAGATGATCCACCCACCTTGGCCTCCCAAAGTGCTGGGATTACAGGTGTGAGCCACTGTGCCTGACCAGGACTCTTAATTATAATGAAACATGACACAAATTTCAGTCCTAAATACACACTAATTTCCCTCCTTCCCTCTCTTCCTCCCTTCGAAATGGGAATGCTATAGCCCAGGGCAGGCCAGGGAGGGAGGTAGAATGAGCAGGTCCCAGGGTCCCAGTGAAGTCGGAACATCTTTCCAGTTTTATTTTCAGTTCTCTTCTCTGTACTCCAAGGGCATAGGATTTCCACATGCCCTTGGAAGAGCCCTTGGAAGGTATTTTCATCCTTCCTACTGGTAAAATGGCATCAAGGGTCCCCACCGGTTCAAGATGGGGACCTTGCCTATATGGTGATGAGGACAGGGACACGCTGGCAGTAGCAGGTAGCCTTTGCCCATCTCTGCAGCAGGCTGGTGTTTGGGATCCAGAAGGCAAGGAAAGTCAGCACTCCGGAAGACCTGGTTGGGGTCACTCTGAGCCAGGTTCAGATCATGGGAAGCTGGATACGCAAAATGGCAGGTGCCGGTGAACTTATACTTGTTCTCCTTTGTGGTCTCATGGTCCTGTGATGGGAAGAAGCCGGGGAGCCCTAGGTCTCTGGCAGTCATGTGGGGTCTTTTGAAGGCAGGGTATCCATCCGTAAGCTTGGGGTTGGGGTTGGGGATGGGCCTATAAAACTCTTTGTCCCGGAGTTGAGCATCGAGCTTTGCCTGCTGTGGAAACAAATCACACGTGAGTGAAGGGGTGACAGAGACAAGAGACAGTGTAGCTTTTCTTGGAAGCATCCAAGACAGAGCCCATCCTTCTTTACTTTTTAAAAACTTTAAATTAGTCCTTGAATGGTAATATACACAACAGAGAAAATGCTGAAATTACGTGAAAGAGTTTATAGTAAAAAGTTAGTCTCTTTTCCACTCTCTTCCTCCCCCAGTTTCCATCTCCAGAGACAACCACTGCTATCAGTGCTTTTTGTATCTTTCTAGAAATATTTTATATGCATATAAACATGCATGTGTATATCTTCTTCCCTTGGTTTGTACACAAATGATGAATATTCCATTCCACACTTTGCTTCCATTAAATAACATCTCAGAAATTGATCCATCTTTGTTTGTTCAGATCTTTTTTTTAGTGGGGAAATCTCAGGACAGGAAAAGATTTTTAAGCAATCTTGAAAAGAGAAAATGATAAAGGAAAAAACTGATAAATCTAACTATATTAAAAATAAGAAATTGAGACCAGGTGCAGTGGCTCACACCTGTAATCTCACCAGTTTGGGAGGCCAAGGCAGGCAGATCAACTGAGGTCGGGAGTTCAAGACCAGCCCGACCAACATGGAGACACCTCGTCTCTACTAAAAATACAAAATTAGCCAGGCCTGGTGGCGGGTGCCTGTGATGCCAGCTGCTCAGGACACTGAGGCAGGAGAATTGCTTGAACCAGGGAGGCAGAGCTTGCAGTGAGCCGAGATTGTGCCACTGCACTTCAGCCTAAAAAACAAGAGCGAAACTCTGTCTCAAATAAAAAAAAGAAAACAAACAAACAAAAAAAGAATTCACACTCCCTGAAAAATTTAGTGCAAAGACAAACCACAAACTGGAGAAGAGTTTATCCACATATAACATATATAACTGAGAAATAAAAAATGCTTAGGACCAGGCATGGTGGCCCACACCTGTAATCCCAGCACTTTGGGAGGCTGAGGCAGGTGGATCACTTGAGGTCAGAAGTTCTAGACCAGCCTTGCCAACATGGGGAAACCTCATCTGTACTAAAAATACAAAATTTGGCTAGGTGTGGTGGTGCATGCCTGCAATCCCAGCTACTTAGGAGGCTGAGGCAGGACAATCACTTGAACCTGGGAGGTGGAAGTTGCAGTAAGCTGAGATCACACCACTGCACTCCAGCCTGGGTAACAGAGCCAGATTCTGTCACAAAAAAAAAAAAAAAAGGAAAAATGCTTAGAATATTTTTTAAAACTCCTACAAATTAATAATAATTAAAAAAGACAAGCAACCCAGTAGAAAAATGAGCAAAATACATGAACAGACATTTTATAGAACAAATCTCCATCAACAAATGAAAAGATGTCCAACTTCATTAATAGTAAATGAAAAGAAAATTATGACCATAGGAAAGTATGATTCTGCACCCACCAAATTGGCAAAAAATAAAATGTCTGCTAATACCAAGCAATGGCAAGATTGAAGAGCAACAGAAGTAACCATCTCCAGCTGGCTATAATGTAAATTGGTGCAACCACTTTGGAAAGCAGTGATTTTACCTAATACTCAACGACAAACAATTCCACTCCTGGGATGGATAAACTCTTGAACATTAGGAAGTGTCTCATCTCATTTTCAGTGCAGCATTTGGGAGTGGGAAGAGTAGGAATAAAGCACCCAAATATCCACCAATAAGAAGAGACAGATACAGGAAAGACAAATACCGTATGCTGTGGCATATTCATGTAATGTAACACTATTCAGGAGAAAAAGAATAATGTGCCGCAATCTTTGGCAAAAAGTGACAAAGTTCAAAAAGGCAAAACCAAACAATTTGTTTGAAGGGATATATACATACAAGGTCAAATGCGTTTTTAGAAAAGCACACAGGGAATTTTGTTTTGTTTTGGAAACAGAGTCTCCACCTCCTGGATTCAAATGATTCTTAATGTCTCAGCCTCCCAAGCAGCTGAGAATACCAGTGTGCACCAACATACCAGGTTAATTTTTGTATTTTTTGTAGAGACGGAATTTTGCCATGTTAGCCAGGCTCGTCTCGAACTGGCCTCCCAAAATGCTGGTATTACAGGCATGCGCCACCACACCTGGCCTACAAGGGAATGATTAACCACTTCTGGAGATGGGAGGAGGGGTAAGTTTGTGGGGTACCCAAGAGGCTCTAAGGTACTGATAATGTTGATGTGCTATGTTTTAAGCTGTCTGTAAGGATTACATTGGTGTTTGTTTTATCAGTGTTATTTAACCTTTAAATGTGTATTATTTACAATCTTTTGTATGCACGACATATTTGATGTATATTTGAAAACATCCACACACATACATGCACGCATACGTGCACATGCACATAAAAGACCTCTAAGTCACATCTGGCATTGAATATTGTTCTAACAAGTGCCTAAATGTCCACATTTCTAATACAAATGAAGCAATAGAGAGGATTTCAGTGGACAGTTGATTGAATGAAAGGACTTGCATGACTTCTTACCTCTTGCGGCGTGACCCTGGAGTATTTGTGCTTCCCATAGGGCTGATAGTCGACCATGTGGGAGCTTTGGTATATGTCTAAATCCACAGAGTCCTAAAGCACAAGGAGAATACAAGACAAGAGGATCCCTCTTGGCACTCCTTCTCTTAAAGCCATTCATGGCTTCTTGCTGTTTGTAGGACAAAGACCAACTTTGGGGCCTGACAATCAGAGCCCAAAGGATCTGGCTGTGACCCACTCTGACCATCCCACCACCTCCCTGCCCTCTCTACTCCAGCCTCACTTTCTCCCACTCGCATGAGCTGGCATGTGCTCTTTCCTGTCTCCTAATGAAAATGCAAGTTGCCTATCACAGACTAGCAAATTCCTACCTATCCTCCAAGACCCAGACTAAATGTCACTTCCCCGAAACATCTCTCCAATACTTTTATTCTCTACCTCCCTAGAGTTAAATCCTTTCCTGTTCCTTACAACCCTCCACAACAGCACTTACAGAGTATACTGTGATGGATTTAATGAAATACACTATATCAGGTTTAGTGTACTTAGACATCTCTGCAGTCCCAAAGCCCAGCACAGTGGCTGGCACACTGTGAGTGCCTAATAAGTGCATGCTGAGTAAATAACCGAACCCCCAGAAAATTATAAAGAAGGGAACTCAGTTCTCTTCTTCTTCTTGTACAAAAACAAACAAAAATCACCAAAAACAAAAGAAAAAATACCCCAAAACTATCATTCCAGAAAGATGAGCACAGGGAGCCACAAGAAGCCTGGCCCTTCCAGGGGCTTGCTGAGGCTACCCAACCCTGAGACAGTCACAGGCGACAGAAACCACATCACTCACCTGTCCCGGGCATATCACACGTGCCATGGCAAAAGACCTAGACACAGACAAGTTGTTCAACCCTGCTCTGCCACAGACAAGGGAAGTAGCCGCTATCTTCAAGCTGTGCCAACCAAGCATGGCTGTCCCAGCTTTCTTAGCCCACTCCTCCCCACCTTCCCTGGGCTCCCACCCTGCATGCCACTCCATCATCAAGGGGTTGGTGTTGACACCAGGATCCCTGGGACAAAGGAACTGGAGCAGGACTCAGGAGGAATGCAGGCTGTTTAAAAGATCACATTTACTGATCAGGTTTACTGTTTGAGAGGTAAATCTGATCTTAGGGCAAGTGATGTTCTAGAAAATGTTTGACAACCATGTTTCTGGGGAAAATAGGCCCTGGGTTTATAGCATCTGCTAACTTCTGTGGTGTAAATGCCCCTATCACGGCTCACTTCAGGCCATCAACATAATGTCACTGGCACTGAGTCGCACAGATATGCACAGGATGGGCTCTTGTGAGCCAGTATGAACTGGTTCTAGCTCACAGGTTCCTGTGAACCAGGGCTCATTACTCCTCCTGGATGGAGGAAGGCCCAGGTCTGGGACTCAGAGCCACCTTGATTCAGGAGGGGAATATCCAAGGTGAAGAAAGTTGCAAGGCTCTGCATTCCCAGTTGAACAACACTAGTTTATAGGCCTAACCCTGACTCTCCCTTCCAGCCCTGAAGTCCTAGGGAGGCCTCACTGCCCAGACCCCTTGTGTGCATGGGTCCCTAGAGCCTTGATGGGTACTCCAATGCATTCCCTGGGAACCCTCCCCTAAGCCCCACTCCCTCAGCAGACTGTGGCCCAGCAGGGTGGTGCCTGGACCTCAACCAACTTCTGTGTCCCCTCCCTTTTGCTCACAGACAGCTTCTTTCCTAGGACTGGGGACCAGCTGCTATGCAGACAGAGCCTACCCCTTTTTCTGCCAGGGCAAGATGGCGCTCCTGCCCTCCCACCTCTAGGTGCCCTTGCCACATGAAGAGTCCTGCTGCTGCGTCCCACTGCCACGCCTGTCTTTGAGTTGAGCCCTGACCTGTGTGATGAGGGTCCCTGTCATTGTGAGGTGGGTGGCTGCTCAGGCTGCCTGCAGGTTAGTTCCCCTGTCCCTGGCTCACCAGAGCCAACAGGAATCCTGGCAGCATTGGAAGGTCTTGGGGACCAGTGCTTTCCGATACTCTACAGAATCTTTCTATTCCTAGGAGAGGAAGGTAAATACAGCCCATGTGGTTTATAACATCAGACTGTGTGTGACTAAATCCACCTCATACCATAGCTTACCCCCACAGGCCTCAGCTGCCTGAAAGTCTGGCTCAAAATTGTCAAAATGTCATACTTTTTGACATTCATGGTGTGTGGCTTTGTAGAGAAACAAATGTTGGTGAGGATGTGGAGAAATTAAAACCATATGATTTTCCAATTCTACTTGTAGTTATAAGTCAAAAAGAATTGGAGGCAGGGACTCAAATGGAAACCTATACACCAATGTTCACAATAGCATGAGTCACAATAGCCAAAAGGTAGAAACAACTCAAATGTCCATCAGAGATGAATGGGTGTGGTATACATGTACAATGGAATATTATTCAGCCTTAAAAGGGAGGCCAGGCGTGGTGGCTCACACCTGTAATCCCAGCACTTTGGGAAGCCGACGTGGGCAAATCACAAGGTCAGGAGTTCCAGACCAGCCTGGCTAACATGGTGAAACCCTGTCTCTACTAAAAGTACAAAAATTACCCAGGCGTGGTGATGTACACCTGTAGTCCCAGCTACTTGGGAGGCCGAGGCAGGAGAATCACTTCAACCCAGGGGGTGGAGGTTGCAATGAGCCAAGATCACACCACTGCACTCTAGCCTGCGTGACACAGTGAGACGCCATCTCAAAAAATAAAAATAAAAATAAAATAAAGGAAGGCAATCTTGACACATGCTACAGCATAGATAAACCTTGATACATACAGCATAGATAAAAAGACAAATGCGGAATGATTCCACTTGTGGGAGATACCTAGGGAAGTACAATTTATAGAGGTAGAAAGTAGAATAATGGTTGCCAGAGATTGAGGAGAGGAATGGGAAGTTATTGTTTAATGGGTATGAAGTTTCTGTTTCAGAAGATTAAAAAAAGTTCTGGGAAGGCCGGGCGCGGTGGCTCAAGCCTGTAATCCCAGCACTTTGGGAGGCCAAGGCGGGTGGATCACGAGGTCAAGAGATCGAGACCATCCTGGTCAACATGGTGAAACCGCGTCTCTACTAAAAATACAAAAAACATTAGCTGGGCATGGTGGCGCGTGCCTGTAATCCCAGCTACTCAGGAGGCTGAGGCAGGAGAATTGCCTGAACCCAGGAGACGGAGGTTGCGGTGAGCCGAGATCGCACCATTGCACTCCAGCCTGGGTAACATGAATGAAACTCCGTCTCAAAAAAAAAAAAAAAGTTCTGGGAATGGATGGTGGTGATGTTTGCCCATTGTGAATGTACTTAACGCCACTGAATTATGCACATAAAAGTGATTATAATGGCAAACTTTGCTATATATATGTAATTTTATATATAGTTATATATATTTTATATTTTATGTAATTTTTTTTCTTTTTTGTTCTTTTTTTGTCAGCACCAACTTGCTATATATTTTATGTAATTTGTATATACATATGTATACTTAATTTTATATGTTGTATATAATATTAAACATTTTATATATGTTATGTATATAATTTTAATAATCGACCTTCTTTAATGGACACCTCCTCCATGAAGCTTTCCTTGACCTCACTAGGTATCACCATAGACTCATCTATCCAACCAATATTTACTAAGCACTTAGTTTGTGTTTGGGCATGCTTCTGAACTTTATAGATTCAAGAGTGACCAAAATAGTTGGAAGTCTCTGCTTACATTCTGGTGATATGAAAACACAGAGCAAACACAATAATAAGTCACCCTCCATTAGATAGAGAAAATAAGGCCGGTGATACACAAGAGAATGACTAGTGGGCTTTTAGATGGGAGGTCCAAGAAGGTCTCTCTGAGAGAGCGATGCTACAGTAGAGATCTGAAGCATGGGAAAGAACCAGCCATGCAAAGACCTAGAGGATAAGGGGTTCCAGACACAGCAATCAGCTAGTACAAAGCCTAAAGGCAGTAGCCACTGAGAACAAGAAGAACCAGCCATGTCCCTAGAAAGGACTGAATGATGGACAAGGTCAAGCAATTGAGTCGGCTGGGAATCTCTGGCATTCCTCTTCTTTCTTTAATGGAGTGCCAACTTCCCCTCAGAGAACTATTGCTTGCCTTTCTTTGGTTTGAGTGTGTCCACAGAATTCACATGTTGGAATTTTGGTCCCTAGCATGGCAATGTTGGGACTTTAAGATTTGATTAGGTGGTTAAGAGGCATTAATGCTGCTCTCTTGAGACTGCATTAATTCTCACCATAGTGAGTGAGTTATTGCTCTCTCGGGACTGGATTAGTTACCCCAAGAGCTAGTTGTTATAAAGTGAGGCCTCTCTGAGGCCGACTTTTGCATGCACTCACTTGCCGTCCCACTTTTGTACCATGTTATGATGTGGTATGAAAGGCCCTTCCAGAAGCTCCTGCCATACCCTTGAACTTCCCATCCTCCAAAACCATGAGCCAAATAAACTTCTGGGTTTTGCTGGTGTTGTTTATTGAGATGGAGTCTTTCTCTGTTGCCCAGGCTGGAGTGTGCAGAGGTGCAATCTTGGCTCACTGAAACCTCAAGCTATCCTCCCACCACCTCAGCCTCCTGAGTAGCTAGGATTATAGGCATGCGCCACCATGCCTGACTAACCGTTTTTGTATTTTTAGTAGAGATGAGTTTTTACCATGTTGGCCAGGCTGGTCTCAAACTCCTGAACTCAAGTGATCTGCCCACTTCGGCCTCCCAAAGTGCTAGGATTACAGGCGTGAGCCACCACGCCCAAACTTAAACTTCTGTTTTTTATAAATTAGCCTGTGGTGTTCTGTTATAGCAACAAAAAAATGGACTAAGACACTCCCCTTTAGGGATCACATGGTGTGGGTGGTGCAGATCTTACTCCAACTCGAAATGGTCATGTTGCCACCAGAATATTCCACTCTCTAGGCCACAGTGATTGATTGTGGGCAGTGACAGGGAGAGGCTCATGATCCACGCTGGGCTGATGAGTGCCATCCCTAGCTCTTGGGAAGGAATAGCTGAAACGGCAGGCACCAAGAACCATATGAGCCTGAAGCTGCTGAAGCTACTGTGTGGAGAAAGCCAGGCCAATAAAATCAGCACAAAGAAAAGAATACCCAAGAGACAGAAACAGAAACAGCACTTTGACTAACACATATGACCATGCCTGAAGCATCTACACGTCATACATGCGTCATACCTACATCTACACGTCGCAGTTGCTGTGAGCCAGTACATTCCTTTTCTTGCTAAAGCCGTCAAGGTTGGAAGGCTCACATAGTTACTTCTCCTAACTAACTGTAGGATTCTTGAGGGAAAGAGCTGGGTCTCACATTTATTCCTCAGTGCACTGACACATAAGGGTGGGGATTTAAGAAGTGCTTGTGAATTAAATAAAACTAAAGAGATGGCAAAGGCTAAGGCAAAGAACAGAGTAACAACAGGGATGAGAGTGGAGAGGGCAGCTGGGGCGTAGCAAGTGATTTTTGTGCCCCAAGTACGTATTTTTCATAAAAATATTACAAAGTACATTTTGGAGTCCTGAATTCAAATTCTCATACTTACTATCCTCATGTCCTTGGGTAAATTATGTAAGATTAATAAAAGGCAGTTTGATACTCTGTAAAACAGAGGTAACACCTACCTGAAAAAGACTGTAGGAAGTCAACAGGTATGTCTGTGAGGGTGCTTGGTGTTCTTCATACCAATATTTGCCCATATTTTCTGAGTTCCTGCTGTATGTTAGGCATTGTGCAAGGGCCTGGAGTTATGATAACGAAGTAGAACAGAAATTATCTCCGCCCTTACAAAGTTACAGCATGATGGCAGATAAATAGGCAAATAATCACACAAGTCAGTCTTTCATTACAGTTTTAACAAGTGCCATGAAGGAGAAACGTGGAGTATCAGAGGTTGGTCCAGTCTTGGGAGCTCGTCAGAGAAGACTTGCCTCAAGTAACGACATTTTAGCTCAGTTCTAAAGGGGAAGGAGAGTTCTGTTCACTGCCCTGAGGCAGGAAATAGACTTCCCACGTGTAGGACAGAAGCCGCTCTGCTAGAGCAGAGCCACAAGGGACAAGGGCAGCTCCAGATGAGACTGGAGAGGTGGGTGCTACCTCATTAAGCAAGGTATAGTAAGAACCTTGACTTTATCCTTTGCAAGCCACTGGATGCTGATGGTGATGTCTGGGACAGTTTGATGAGATGGCAATAAATAGGAAGAGAAGTGAGCAGGTTCAAGAGACGTTAGGAGCTGGGTGCGGTGGCTCACGCCCGCAATCCCAGCACTCTGGGAGGCGGAGGTGGGTGGATCAAGAGGTCAGGTGTTTGAGAGCAGCCTGGCCAACATGGTGAAACCCCATCTCTACTAAAAATACCAAAAAGAGAGAGAGAGAAAGAGAGAGAGAGAGATGTTAGGAAAGTAGACCACATAGGATTTAATCATTAACAGGAAGCGGCAGTGGCAAGACAGAGTAGGGTCAAAAAGATTCCCAGATTTGTCAAATAAGCCATTGGAGCTTGATGGTCCTTTGATGAGGTGGGAGAGGCAGAAAGAGGCATCTGTTTGGGAAATGCTATGGTTTGACTATTTGCCCCTCCAAAACTCATGTTGAAATTTAATCCTCTATGTGGCAGGATTGAGAGGTGGGGACTTTGAGGTGACTGGGTCATCAGGGCTCTTCATGGATTAATGGGTCAATGGATTAATGGGTTATCATGGGAGGACAACTGGTATCTTTATAAGATGAGGGAAAGAGACCTGAGCAAGCAGGTTAGCATGCTCAGCCCCCTCACCAGGTCATGCTCAGCAAGAAG